AAGTTATTTATTATTGCATAAACCTAGGAACTAAAATCTCAGGAGCGCTCACGCAGCCGCCACGTCCTGTCCGAGCACAAAGCCGCTGGTGACATGAGAGCCCTCGGGGGGGCTGCAGGGGGGAGCACGGAGCATCCTGAGCTGGGACACGGAGGGACAAGACCCGAGCTGTGCCCCGGGGAGCAGGAAGGGCCACGTTGCACCCACGGGACGCAGGTACGTGGCTGGGTTAGGGGACAGGGGGGGTCACAAGCAGCAAAGCACAGCCCGGGGCCTCGAAACACATCGCTACTGGGTTCATCCGGCGGCGCAAACAGCACGAGCGAAAGCATCAAAGGACAAATCACAACTAGCTTATTCTGGGGGGGCTGCGCTGCAGGGAGCTCAGGGCTTGGGCTTCCAACCCTGGGGGAGACAAGGGAAAAGCTGCGTTTCAGGGAGCCAAGTCAAGCACCGTCAGGGAAAGGCAGCCCTGGGGAAGGACATCTTCCTCCTCGTTGGACACAGGACTTGCGAGCAGAGCCCCGTCGGGGACGGGCCATGGTGATGGGTGCCGGCGGGCAGGAACAGCAGTGCTGGAAGATGCAGAGGGGTGACTGTGACCCCCCATGCTCACACCGAGCTGCTCACGCTCCTGGGGAGGAAGAGGCTCCGGCTGGGTGGCAGGAAGGGACAGCATGGGGAGAACAGCAGAAATTCAGCCGAAAGGATAAAAAAACCGCCATCAAGAGAAGCTGGAATTTCCCCGGCCAGCAGAGCCGAGGCGAGCACCAAGCAAAGTGTCGACAGGCAATGACTTGAAGCTGAGACTCTCCCAGATGCTCGGCAGGCCCTGGCATGAGCCGGGAGCAAACCCCCCGGCAGGACTGGCCCTGAGCTCACGGTGGTGGGGGGACATGGCCTCTGTGGGGCAAGCGGCTGGAGGATCCCATGCGCCTGCAGCCTGCCCCGTGGCGCAGGGATGTGCTGGAAGCGCATGGATGAGCGCAGGACCAGGGCAGGACCACCAGAGAGTCCCCATGCTGAAAATGTGCCGCTGCGACTGGTGCAGGAGCCTGGCAGAAAGCTTTGGGGTGCTGGCGCAGCCCCCACCCCGGCCACCCTGCAGACCCTGGGAGGCCTCTGCAGAGAAGGCTATGAGCACCGGGCCTCCCTGCCCCACTCCCACGTGCTCTCATCTCTCATGTGTCTGAGCCCAAACTATTCCCTTAATTATCCCTGACAGCTTTTCCCAAGTGATCCCCAAAGCCAAACGCAGCCTCTCCTGGGCTGTGCGCCCCCCTGATACGTCGCCTGGCCCTTCCGTGGCACTTCGGCACCCGAGCGCACGCCTGAGCTGCGATGGGTCAGGGATGGCAGTGCTGCCCCGCATCCTCAGAGCGCCGAACACCGACAAACCAGGACCAAAAAACACGGCCCGGGGCCCGGAGAAGGCATGCAGAGCAGGGAATGGGGTCTGTACAGTCGAGCATAGGAGACATGCCACAAGCAACGGGAATGGGATGTTTACTCCAGCAATCCCAGATCCAAAAGGATCTGGGGACCAGCCTGGAGCAAGGAGAGCAGCAGAGCTGACCGGGGGAGGAGGGACAGCGCAGTCGCTGACGCAGACGGCATTTTGAGGACAGAATGCAGGCAGAGCACGAGCACACAGCACCCCGCAGATCCGGCACAGCCCAAGTCGCAACACAAAGCAGAAGCAGCAAAGCCTACGGCATCCACCAGCCCGTCCTGAGGACGCGGCCTCCAAAAGGGAAAGGAACCTCTCCAGCAAATCAAGAGGACAATTAATGCTTTCTTCAAGCCAGGCAGACAGGATAACCCAGTAAAGCAAATGCCACCATGGCCTCAACTTTTAAAGCTCTTCCACGGCTACCTCCGTTGCCCTCGAGCCCTCTGCACTCAGCATTATCCAAAAAGACGCAACAAGCCCTGCCCGCACCAGCCAGCCGCGATGGGCAGCACTACAGCAACCCCCAGCTCTTTCACCCCAAGTCCCCATACAGTACTCATGATTATAAGTGCTTTGCATACATAGTTCGACATCATGCATATATATTTCTATGTGCTAAGGCCCTTGGCCCAGCGGAGATACCGTCCTCCTGCAGCAGAGAGGTCCTTCATTTTGTGTAGGGCTCGTAGTGTGCGTTGGACTCCGGCCCCCTCCTGCTTCAGCTGGCAGGACCCGAGTCTGCAACAGCCTGGCCAGCTGCTGCCCCACGCGCTTGCATATCGTAGTGGGAGTTCAGCAAACACCAGTACTAGGTAAGCAGCCGATTACGAAAAGAACCGTATTTACAGAGCTACAGTTAGCTTCAATGGGTTACGTCTGCAGAGAGTCACCGAAGACAGCCGGAAACAAGCAGCTGTGCATCCCACAGAGTCTGCCGGGAAAAACATAGGTACCAACACGGATTTCACAGCTTAGTTGGCACAACTAAGGTGAGAGATTCATCACTAACCGGATCCTCCCTCCCCAGACAGCAACACTCAAGAGGTGGTTACGACACTAGGGAACAAGACAGTGAGGTGGGGCACGGCGCGGAGTGGAGACCTCAGCCGAGGAGCCCCACGGAGGATGGGGTTTCTCCTTTTTAAATGAGTCTCTGCACGGAAGAGCAGCACCCCTCGTACCAGACGCCATGGCAGCCTGCAAGATCACCGAGGGAAGCGAGAGTGGAGGATGCACATGCTCAACCGCTCAGCAGAGCCTCCTCCTCTGCCTCCTCCGGCATCTGGGCAGGGAGCCCCTCGCTCAGAGCAGTGCTTGCGGCTGCTCGGCTGGGGCGGTGACCGACGCCGTAGCGCACCGAGGAATTGGGAACCTAGCTCTAAAGTGATGCGTAGCGGGGCAACCTGCCAGCAAGAAGGGGATCTGACCTGCTTATCGGGGAAGGGGAGGGGGCTGTGCTCACCCACAGCAATTCAATCACAACTGGATCCCACCTCCTAGAGACTGGGGCCCACTGGGAGTCAACAGCCCAGCCTTTTTGTCCCATCAGCCAACATGGGTTTCAGTTACTGACCAAAAGGGACACCAGGTACGGTCACAGACATCTCAGAGGCTCTGGAGGGGCAGGAGCACAGAGACTCAACTATACAGGGTGCAAGAGTCCAGAGCCAGAAAGCAGCGCCCTGGGGAGAAGCTGAAGGCAGCTGTTGTGTTGTGCACGGGCTGCTCATCTGGCTGGTGGCTGGGAAAGGACCGGGTGAGCCAGCGTGACATTCAGGGAGTCATTGTGCTGCACCAGGGATGTGTGCTTGTAGTGCAAGACCAGGTCCTTGAGGGAGGCGTAGAGGTTGTAGGGTTCAGCGAACCCGTAGCCGGTCGCCGTTTTGTAGATCACGCAGTGCTTGGTGTCACCGTCCACCCTGCCAGGGAGACAAGGGAGCACGGGTCAGCAGCACGCTGGAGCCCCGCCGCGCAAGGGAGCCCCGCTGGGACAGGGACAGGGACAGCAGAGCACAAGTGGGCGTCACCGAAGCAGCCCAAAGATACATCTGGCCCTGGCAGGAGGAGCCGGGGCAGACAGGAGACCTCGGGGAAGCCCAGCCTGCCAGCTGACGCCTCTGCCAGCCTCCAGTATCTGGCAAGAGAAGGGCAGAGCAATGCGGGAGCACAGCCCGCGCCAGTTCCATCCCCCCACGTCTGCTTGGGGGTACTCACACCACGGAGCAGGCGTAGCATCCCTTCTGGCTGCTCTCGCGGATCAGGAAGGTGCCGTCCCGCTTGCCGCACAGCATCTCTTCTGCCTGCAAGCGGTTGATCTTCCCCACGTACCACGTCCGCTCCTCGTGGTGGGGCAGCTCCTCCTCGTCATCCATCATGGAGTACTGGCTGCAATCGAGCACAGGCAGGGTCAGACCCCCTCGATTTGGGCATGTGGCCCCCACATCTTCCCTCCCACTGCTATCTGCCGTCACCCCTCCCAGGCAGGGAGATGGGACTTGCCCGCAGCCCCAGAGCAGGCAGACCCAGCTGCGCAGC